GACTTTTTCATTTTCGCGTTCCTCTCGTGTTGCGAAAAGCAACAGCAGGTCCAGTTGCTATAAATAGATAAGTTCAGATAGCAGCGGGGTGATGACATACCAAAATACCATCTTTCGAGTCTGAAAATGTCATGATCGATAGAACCTCTCAAACTGACCGCTGCTCCTCCAAATCGGATTGTAGGATGTAGGGCTACACCGATCGATGCATGTTTATTAGATTGAAAATTGCGCGCAATATCACGACACTTGCTCCGTTGTGTGTGCTGGGGCGCCGCGCAATCACACCGAAAAAAAAAACCGCAGGTACGGGTAAGACCGCTACCTTCGCGGTGTCGATCCTTCAGAAGATCGACGTTGCCGCGGCAGACTGCCAGGCGCTGGTGCTCGCGCCCACCCGCGAGCTTGCGCAGCAGATCGTCAAAGTTGTCCGCGCGCTTGGGGACTTCATGCAGCTGCAGGTAGGTGATAATGACGGTTTGCTTCCCGACTCCTTGTCTCGTCTGCTAGCAAGCGCCTTGGTGGTGATGAGAGGATTTCCGGCCTTCGCTCGAACAGCTGTTGCAGGTCGGGCCGTTCGCCACAGGCCGAATGGACTGCTCTACCTCACGGGTGGTTTTGTTGGACCTTTCGGCCCGACCTAGTAACCAAGGCCGGAACCCTCATCACCACATCCACCTGTGACTTGCGAATGGGTTGGATTGCTCTGGCGCATAAAATCTGGTGGTTCAGATTTCCTTCGTTCTCTTGCGCAACCACCATTGTGGAAGTGCTTGCTTGTTGTGTTGCCTTCTTGTCGCAGCTGATAGTTTTCTTGAAGCCAACACAATTCCCTCACCCCGACCCCCCCCATGATTGAATGGAAACACACAGGTGCACGCGTGCGTGGGCGGAACCGCCGTGCGCGATGACATCCGGACGCTGCAAAACGGCGTTCACATCGTGGTGGGCACCCCCGGGCGCGTGTACGACATGATCTCGCGGGGTGCCCTCCGCCTGGACCGCGTGGGCCTGTTCGTGCTGGACGAGGCCGATGAGATGCTCTCGCGCGGTTTCAAGGACCAGATCTACGACGTGTTCCAGTACCTCCCGGAACGCGTGCAGGTGGCGCTGTTCTCGGCCACCATGCCCCTGGACGTCCTGGAGGTGACCAACCGATTCATGCCGGATCCCGTCCGCATCCTGGTGAAGAAGGACGAGCTGACGCTGGAGGGTGAGTGAAATATATCAGTACTGCTGCGGCGTCCCTTTTTTTGTGCGTAGACCGAATGCCGTGAGCAAGAACATACTAGTTTGGAGAGGTGTTTGGTGTCGGTTTGTGGCGGCTGGCCGTTTTTGTTTGGGGGAGTACGGTGCTGTGCTGTGGTCAACTCGATTTTGGATATGGTGTATGGTACGTGGGAATCTTGTTCGTACGGAGTGCGATATGTTCCTTTTGTCTGAAGCAGGACGTACCCCTCACCTTGCCGACTGGAGGTAAAAAAGTCTTCTCAGTTGTGGTTTTTAAATATTTACTCGTAATCGCTCCCCCCTCCCTCCCCTGGTCCCATGGCGTGATCGCTTCATCTCTCAGGTATCAAGCAGTTTTACATCGCGGTGGACCGCGAGGAGTGGAAGTTGGACACGTTGTGCGACCTCTACGAGACCCTCACCATCACGCAGGCCATCATCTACTGCAACACCCGGCGGCGCGTAGATTGGCTCTCGGAGAAGATGCAGGAGCGAGACTTCACCATCTCGTGCATGCACGGGGACATGGGCCAGCAAGAGCGTGACGTCATTATGCGGGAGTTCCGCTCGGGCTCGTCTCGCGTGCTCATCACCACGGACTTGCTCGCCCGTGGTATTGACGTCCAGCAGGTGGGGAAGAACCGCCCTGTATTGTCGTGTTTTTGAATGGTTTGGTTTTCTTGAGTGAAGTATTTTTTGGTCGGTTGTCCTATGCGCGTGTTGGGTGTCGGAGCCCCGTTTTGGTCACCTTCCCGTTTGTGCCCGATGCACTTGTGCAAGCAAGGTTCTCCGTCGTTCCACCGCTGTTTTTCTTTGGTAGCCCATGCAGGCATGGAAAGATTTTTGGTTGACTGTGGGTCATGTTGAGACGGGCTCCAAGTTTGCAACGACTACCTTGCTCCTCGTGCCGTCGTGCTGTCGGCTTCTGCACTCCCCTCGAGCTACCCTTGATCCCGCTTTGACAGGCAACAACAAACGACCTCCCGATGTTTATTTTTTATTGTGTGTTGCGTGCCATTTTCTTACTCATCTGCGTTGCCCCCCCTCCTTCAACGCGTTTTTTGTCTCGTGCGCGTGATATTAGGTGTCGCTGGTTATCAACTACGACCTGCCGACCAACCGCGAGAACTACATCCACCGTATAGGTCGTTCGGGGCGATTCGGGCGCAAGGGTGTGGCCATCAACTTTGTCACCCAGGTAAGGATGGACCGTATATTGAAGTAAAAGCAGCGTCCCATGAAAAACATGCTTACTACTGGTAGTATTTTACGGTTGGGGTTATCCGTGAACAGGGGGTGGATTGTGTTTGCGGATCCACACGAAGGTTTGACGAAGAGGAGTGTGTCATTGTTGGTTCAGGCGAGGAGTTGTTTGTTGGTGTCCGTTGGTTTCATGTGTACGAGAAGGATGGTCGAGAGGCAATGACGAGAACATTTCACTTGCGCCTAGACGCTAACCAGACAGTTATCTGTCGGTGAGGCTGCAAATTCCTCTAAGAAGTTCCGAGCCTTTTTTTTTACTTGTGTCGTCAGTTTCGTGCAAGTTTGTTTTCGACTGGCAGTACAGTTCGTCATTACTCCCGTCACGAAACAGTTTATAGAGCCCCGCGCGTGCCTTCGTTTTGTCTTGACGTCTGGCGTCATCTTAATCTTCTTTTTATTTTCAAGGCATTTCGATGTTTCGAATTCCTCTGTTTGATTGCAACACTGTTGCGTTTGCGAGTTTGACAATTCACGCCCTTGCCCGCACTGCGAAACCGCCCGTGTTGCCTGTGGTTGCAGGGTGATGTGAGGTACCTCCGTGATATCGAGGAATTCTACACCACTCAGGTCGAGGAGATGCCGATGAACGTGGCAGACCTCATCTAATCCGGTTTCGCTATAGAATGAGGCAGTTGAGAAGAAGGAGAAGAGGGGTTCTCGACGCTTAGACGCTAATGAGTTTCCGCGTGTTCCCGCCCGCAGCACGGCCATGAGCGAAGTTCTACAGTAATTACTTTTTTTGCAAGGATTTCATCTATGAGCATGTCTGTGAGAAGTTTTTTTTCTGCATCTTTTCTGATCGTTGATCGCGTGGCGAAGAGACAGAGAGGATAAAGCCCTCGATTTTTGTTGTAAAACGTTCAAGCTGCAGGGTAGCAAAACACGACCTTGTCAAGATTTTTAGGCGGTTCGCCACTTATTCCATCATGAACTCTGCATACGTCGAAGGATAAGGGGTGGACCGGGGGGGAGGAGGATTTGTAAGCCGGTTCAAGAGCACAATGGCGGGCTAACAATAGAGGACTTTCTTGGCAAGCAACAAAAAATACAGGATACAACGAGGGGGTCGCGTTTGCGCGTTGGTATCCATTGCTCCGCGCGCGTGTATTTCGTGTGCAGGACCTTTCTCGTCGTCGTCGTCTTTTTGTCTTGGCTTTAGCTGTGTCTCGATGGGAGGCGCTGGTTGGGGTATTGTAGTTGGTGATGATGGGGGGGGGGCGGAGACAAGCAGTTTTTCTGAGTCTTTGGTTCCGTGTGAGAGCGAGAACGGCCATACGCCGGGGTTGATTTCAAGGTTCGTCGGAGGAAAGCCTTTTCGCCACCAGCAGGCAGGGGCCCATTTTGTGAAGTGTTTTTTTGGTCGGTCAGCGGAATATGCAGGGCATTTCCCCTGTGCGTGTTGCTTGCTTTTGTGTAAGAGCGTTCCCATCCGTTTGTCCCCACCCCCCGTCATCGCCCGTTCCCACCCACCCTTATTCAACGCCCAGTGAGCTAGGGTCATTGTTGGCCAAGTGTGTTTAGCTTTAACGAGCTTGAAGCAGGCAGGTTTCACCACTGTTGTTAATTTTATTTTTTTCTCAAGAACAAAACCTCAACAAACCGAGACTCGCAATGCGCTTTCGGATGGCTTGAAACAATGACAAAATCGTCGGCCCGTGGCTGCACGATTTGTCGATGGCAACATGTGCTGGCACCACGTGTGCGTCTCTGCTGCCATGGTCCCGTCGAAGTTGTGCATCTGTCCCACTTGCGATCAAGTTGAACCCTAAGGTCTTTGCTTTGATTGGGTTGCCCTCCCATGAAGCCGCTTTTACCCTTCTGGCTTGCTCTGCACACTGTGTAGACTATTGGTACCCTCCACATATCACGCGATGCGCGATTTGGTGCTTGGCAGCGTATTTACCCGAACACAGCAACCGATGGGAATGACAAACGCGTGCTTGTTCACCTGTGGCTTTCATGACAAGTCCACCGATCGTCGGGCAAGAACAAAATTCGCCTCTTCTTGACCGCTTAATGTTACCCTTGTGTGTGTCGAAGGTTCTGCTGGCCGTTGAGGGTTAATGAAACTGAAGTTAACTCCACTGAAACGAGGACCTGGCGGAGAATCGAAGCACCTGCACGTACCTTGATCAACATATACAGGGTTTACGAGGTTGTCACCTACCGCAGTAGTAGACCATCTGGCCGATCGGTTTGGCCTCTTTGTTTTTGTAATTATCGTGGGTGAGCCCCCCAACGCGGTTGTTCACGAACGACCCCGCCGACAGCGTAGTGCAAGGAACAGAGACAGTGGAAACCCTGGGCAAGTCAGTTATCCAGCTCTGCTGCTGGTGTAGCCAGCTTCTGCTTTGGAAAGCCTTGTGGGACCTCGCCCACAAGTGCCGTCAAAGCTAAACTAGTCTCCCAGAGATATCCTTAATACACCAGGGTCCTCATGTTCTGAGATCAAACTGGTCAGCCGTTGTGTCACAGGGCCGTGTGGCCACACGTGTCTCTCAGCTGTTGTCAGCCCGTTGATGTTATTTTCTGGATTATTGATACGAAGACCCGCCGGCCGGATGCATGCCGCATTGCGACTGATCACTCACTACTTACTCTGCTGCTGCTGTGTACATGTCCCAACCAACCTCCACCGTCTGCACGGTCTCTGCTTTGCTCTGCACCTCTGCTGACACTGGCACGACATGGCTTTACTGCTAGGAACTACATCTGGGGCAGCTGGTTCATAGCAGTAGGTGTGGAGACAAGTACACGTAAAATTCTGACTCTGAATGAAGCTCAAAGTTCAATCTGAATTTCACGAATATAGTGCTACTATGTAATTCTCGCGGCCGGGAGTCAGTCGTGTTGCTCGGCCAACAAAGAACCCCCAGTTTGTTGTCATTTCAACAGCTGCGTTTACCGGTGCAATGATTGCTCGATGTTTGCCGCTGCAGCCCGACACACTCGATGTTGGGTCGACATGAGCGATGTTCGTCCTTTTGACGGGCCAAAATGATGGTTAGATAAATATATCTTTGAACATCTTGCCACGACCAGCAAAAACCTTTCAATCTCAACAAGGGGGCCCGCTATCAACGTCGACGCCTCCCGCATCTCGTCTGAACGTTCGGGTCGGCGTCACGACAACATCTAGGCGCACGTCGGTCGACTCCGTTGGGATGCAGTCCACCACCTGTTCGTCGAAGCACACGCCCTGTTATTATCCAGGCAACAAGGTTGGCAAAAAAACAACGGCCGATGGTTGGCGGTGAGTGGGAGAGGAGTGGAGTGGGGGGGGGG